CCTCATGAGAACAGCAGGTAACTCAGTAGATCCTGTCTGGTAGGATGCCCCAGACAGCTCTTTGTCACCACCAACCAGGAACAAACCTCCGCATTGCCACATCAGTAAGCCAGCCTGATACTGGGGGCCAAGACCTCTGTCCCGGTAACACCTGCCACTACCTGGGGAAGCCCCCTTGCCAGGCTGACGGGTGTGGAAAGGGACTGTGTGGTATTAACAGGATTCATGCTGTGGCCATCCCAGAGTCTTGCTGTCCATCAGCTACCGTCTTACCATGACAGAGAGTGACTCAAAGCCAGATGTGGTGCTCCAGTATTCTGGAGGCTGAGGCAGGGGGATTTCATGGAGTTCAAAGTCAGCCTGGGGAAAGACAGGAGTACCTAGCCAAATCAGTCAAACAACATAAAAACAACTACCCAGAGGGGTCATTGTAAGAGGTGGAGTGTTCCTAACCTAGGCAGGCCCTGAACTGGAATGCCATTGACACCCAATCAAGCAGCAGAGGCCACCAGCAAGGGTGCAGACCAAGGTGGGCTGACGGATCCGATAGATCTGTTGCTTTCTCTTGTTCCTGTGAGGGTTTTAACGGGTCTGGGCTCCGGGAGGTGGGAACAGTGTGCATAAAATTTGGTCCTGAGACAGTTGCTTGGCCCCTGGCCTGGCATCGGCTGTGTGGGTCCTGCCCCTGATACATCCACCTTCGGGCTACAGGCTCTACTCGTAGAAGGCCTCCCTCTTTCTCCACGACAGGCTTCAGTGACCCATCCCAGACTCTCACTGGATGCTTGGAGGCTCTCAGAGGCTCCCGGGGCTGGGTCCAAGCCCCCACCAAGATCTGCTGAGAGGCCTGAGGATTGAAGGCACAGCCCAGGAGGAACTGGACTTGGCTTTACTGTGGCCAGCCTCTACTTTTTCTAGAGGACAGGCTGTGGGAGTTGGTTGGCTCCTTTCACCCTGTGAAGTGACTTTACCGCAGAACCCACCATCCACCTTACTTTTTTGAGCCAGGGTGTCTCACTGAACCCGGAAGTTGCCGTTTCAGACTGCCTGCCTGCCAGCCTCTTGCCTTCCACGTCTGGGGTACCACGTGGACCATGGCGCCTGGCTCTTATGTGGGTGCTGAGGATATGAAATCGGGCCCTCATTTTACTGACTGTGTCACCCCCCAAACCCTGAAGTAGAATTAACATTAACCCAGTGAACACCCTTCAACCTGTCATAGCCTCTCTTTGCCCAGACACAGGGCAAGATCTGAGGGGAAGGAATCTGGGTCCCCAAGTCACCACGTGGTGACCTCTCCCTCATACCAGCAGTGCACACATCACACAAGCAACAAACAGCCTTGAATTTAGCTGCGGGGAATAGGGCTTATCTGTTAAAGCTGCCAGCACTGTTCCACCCATTGTAATGAGCCAGCCTTTCAAATTTGCCATTTGAGCTTGAGATGTGAGCGTAGACACCAGCAGGGAAGACCCTGCCCAGTAAAAGTGAAGACAGACTGAAGACAGTGCTTCTGGGAGGGAGGAGGCGGGAGGGAGAGGACAGTAGGAGTAAGGGGAGGAGTCAGAGGCAGGTCTGACACACTGTAGGTTTAAACAGCACAGTGATAGCAGCTTTAGGAGAGGCAAATGCCACACTGCCTGCCTGGAGCAGTTCCAAGGGCAGTGGAGGACAGAGATATTGAAAAGGCTGGAAATTTTAAAACAGAAATTTATCCTGCAAAGAAAGAGGTCTAGAAATTGCAGAAGGACTCACGGCTTCTTTGCCAGAGCAATTCCTTCAGGGGAGGTAGGGTGGAGAGAGTTGGAATCCATCAGCCTGATAACATGTGATTGTGGGCAGAAGGCCACATGCCAGGGTCCTCTGCTCTGGGGCCACTCTAAAACCAAACTTATGAGCCGGGCGGTGCTGGCACAAGCCTTTAATCCCAGCACTTGGGAGGCACAGGCAGGCAGATCTCTGTGAGTTTGAGGTCTACAGTGTAAGTTCCAGGACAGCTAAGATTACACAGAGAAACCCTGTCTTGAAAAACAAACAAAATACACAAAACAAAAACAAAATTATGACACATCAAGAATCAAAAGAATCAAATTGTTCTGCAGATAAACTGCCTGTAGCCAGACCAATGGAATAGTTTCTAAATAATATAATAATGTTTATAACTGAATAGCTCCAAACTTGGGGTGTCAGTTGGGAGACCTGGGCAGTCTATGGAGCCTCTGGCAGTGGAACCAGTATTTATCCCTAATGTGCAAATGGGCTTTGGGAGCTCATTCCCTATGTCCCTATGGACGGATTGTCTCTCAGGGGTAGGGGGGTGTAGGGGGCTTAGGGGGGTGTCCTGCCTCAAATGATGTGACAGACTTTGATGATTCCCCACGGAAGACCTTACCCACCCTGAGGAGTGGAAGAGGGGTGGGATGGGGGGGCTGATGGGGGGAATGAGAGGATGGGAGGGAGAAGGAACTGGGATTGTTTTTAATTTAAATAAAAAATTTTAAAAAATAACTGAATAACATGGAACTTAAATGGCCAGTATCCAGTTGCAAATTACCAGGTATGCAGAGAAACAATAAAATATGAGCTGTAACTGGGCCAAACAACAACAGAAATCAGTCATTGAAAACAGACTGAAAAATAGCAGAGGCAATGAAACTAGCAGACAGGATCATTAAAACAACTACTGAGCCGGGCGTTTTGGCACACATCTTTAATCCCAACACTCGGGAGGCAGAGGCAGGTGGATCTCTGTGACTTCCAGACCAGTCTGGTCTACAGAGTGAATTCCAGGACAGCCTCCAAAGCTACACAGAGAAACCCTGTCTCGAAAAAACAAACAAACAAAAAAAAACCCAAACAAACAAAAACAAAAAACAATTATTGAAAATCTTATAAGTATGGGAAAGGATATAAATAAATAAAAATATTATGAGGTGAAGTAGAAAATATTAGCAAGACTCAAGTAGAATTTGTTGAGGTGAAAAAATTAAATCATAAAAATAGCTACCTCCCCCAAAAATCCACAAAGAAGAAAAACAGGAGCAAAGCCTGTATTTTGAAAGTAATTCAATAGACTTGACTCTGCAGAGATGCTCAGTGGTTAAGAGCACTTGTTGCTCTTGCAGAGGACCACGCTGCGTTTCTCACACCCATTTGGTGGCTCAAAACCATCTCCAAGTCCAATTCCAGAGGCTCCAACACCCTCTTCTGGCCTTAGTGGGCATACATATAGTGCACAGATACACAGGCAGCTAAAACATCCATACTCATAAAAGAAAAATAACTCTTTAAAAGACTATTAAAAAGTAACACAGGAGACTCATATCTAACCACACAGAGAGTTACATTACATGTAAGTGGCTTAAACACACTAAAAGGTGAAAATAGAGATATATGTAGATAATTAGGCAAAACTCAACAATGTGCTTTCTACAACAAACTCTTTTGAATAGAAAAAGATAGATACATTAGTAGTTAAAAATAAAAAAAATCCAACACAAATCCCAGAGCAAAGCAGAGAAACATAAAAAAAATCCCTTATAACTGAAGATTTAAACCTTAGCTGCTCAGATCAATTGAAAGAACAAGTTTGTCAAAAGAAAATAGAAACCAGTAAGCATATGGAATTATCTGGAAAGATAATTCAGTTGGTGAACTGCTTGCTGCATCCATGTAAAAAGCCAGTCATGGTGGCCCATACTGATAATCCTGGCACCTGAGTGGGAGAGAACCGAGAGTCCAGCCTGCCCAGCTTAATCAGTAAACTTCAGATCCCAGAGAAAGATCTGCCTCAAAAACCAAGGTTGTGGTGGGAGATGGCTTAGTCAGTAAAGAACTTGCTGGGTACACAGGACCTGAATTTGGATCCCCAGCAATTACGAGGAAAGCTGAGCAATCCCAGGGCTGGGGTGGGAGAGATGGGAGGATTCCTGGAGCTCCCTGGCCAACTAGTCTAGTGTCTGGCCAGTGAGCCCGTCAGTGAGCTAGTAGTCAGTGAGCTTCATGCTTAGTGAAATATATATAAAAAAGGTGGAGAGTGATAAAGAAAGACACCTGACATCAACCTATGTCTTCTGCATGTCCATGCACTCGTGTGCATCTTCACAGACATGTGCCTACATGTAGCAAGCACACACGCACACGCGTGTGCATACACACACACACACACACACACACGTCAAGGTGGATGATTCTAAGGAACAATATCTGAGGTTGACCTTGGCCTCCACCTGCGTATTTGTGCACATTTAGCTATGTAAACACATGTACACCTGTACATACAAATAATCCATGTGCACACTGAAAGAAAAATGAATTGAATACATGAATACCACTACTAGCCAATTTAACTAAATTAACATTTATAGAATATTTACTCAACAACAGCAACGCAAACATTATATTCGAGTGCACATAGACTAAATGCTGTGTAGAAAACTAAGTGTCAATCTATTTTTAAAACATTTTAGTCATTTAGAGAATGGTGTCTGACCACAGCTAAATTAAATTATAAATTAACAACAGAAAAGTGTTGGAAAAAATTCCACACAATGGAAATTATCCAACACACACACACACACACAAAATGAAAAAGTGAAAACAACACAAAATTTGTGGAACATGGAGTTGTAGGTACAGAAGTTATAGGTATGGGAGGTCCTAGGTTCAGTCCCTAGCACATCAAAATGCATGCATTAAAACACAAACATAAATGAAGTTAGGTTTGCTCAAAGCAGTGCTTTAGGAAGTGGCTTAGTGCATTGAACGACTTTCTAGGAAAAGAAAAAAACATCTAAAACCAATGCTCCAGGCTTTTATGAGTAGATTAGAAAAAAAGAGAAGAGGAAGTGAGAGACGGAAGGAGCCGATGAGGAACAGAGCAAAGGGTAGGGGTGGGGTCGGTGGGAGAGCCCTCGCCTGACACAGGCAGGGGCCCAGGCTTGAGCCTGTGCACTGGACAGGGGGACAGCAAAACAAAACAGACTTCAATTCCCCCTCAGTTAATCAGCTGTAAGGAGCAGCATGAGAAGTCCGAAGGCCCATACTTGGGGAGAGAAGACAGATGAATGGTGATCAGTGTTGGAGAAGCCGAAGTCACCTGCTTAAGCTACGTCACCTTTCTCGAGTGCCAGGTCCATTTCTTGTACACCATTAACAGTTGTGGTGGTTAGTTTCAATTGCCAACTTGCCATCAACGAGGGATGGTTTTGATTGCCTTAAGCGAAGACCCAGCCTCAACACAGGCAGCATCGTTCCTTGGTTTAGGGCTTTGGACTGTACGAGAGTAGAGAAACCTCGTTGAAATCTAAGTATGCATGTTTTTATTTCTTTTCGCTCTTCACTATGGATATGACTAGTTGATTTGGGTTCCAGCCAACTTCCTGCAACAATGCATTTTAACCTGAATCTGTAAGCTGAAATAAACCCTTTCTGCTCAAACGTGCTTTTTGTCATAAAACTAGCATCTTATCACAGCAATGGAAATAGAACTATGACATTATTTGATGATAACTGCTATTGTGCCCACCAAGTATTATGAGTAAGCTGGCAGATAATGCCATTTTGTGATAGAAAGCTTTGGTAACATGACCACCTCTCATTCCATGGTTAAGGCATTCAGCCTCTATGGAGGTCCAGCAGAAAGTTTCCAAAAACTGGCCGGTCCATAAGCCCAGGACTCTAACTGTCCTGCTGAGTGCCAGAGGCTCACAGAGGTCCCACTTGACACCAACACATCAGCCACCACCATTTCTGCGGCATCACAGGCCGAGGGGCAGGAAGGGGCTCTGTTTTCATTCTTCATGGGACCTCGTGCTGCCAGCTCAATCAGGGTTTCTATTCTGAAAAGCCCACGCCCCCAGAGCCTGGACCGTCAAGAAAGCATTCTACTCTGACTGCCCTTATCCGGATCTTTCATCTGTTTCAAAGCGTCCTTTACCCATTAATTAAGTAATGAATTAATCAACAAAGTCATTGCCTAATTGCTTTTCATTTCTGGAAGCTTTCACAAATGTCAGGGGGGAAAATGACATTTTCAGCATTTGAACATACATCCCACAGCCTGAAGTTTGGAACTACAGAAGGTGGCTTCCTGCTAGGGAAGATCAGAATGAAGGGGTAGGGATATGAAAGACAGAAGGATGGTTTCTGGACCCGTGGCAGAATGTCACTGTTTGCAGCAGGCACCGTCTGCTCTCTCTGATTTGGTTCCAATAGGTACAAAGTTACCAAGGTTCTCCTCTTGGACATCCAGGTGACTGATCTTGGAGGTTAATTTCCCAGATCCTTATCTATGAAGTGGACATACACCTAGCATTTTCGAAGAAGCAGAATCATTATTATGTAAAAAACACTTTATAAGCTGCAAAGTGCAATTACACAGTCCTCTTTCAGGATGGACATTTAATTCAGGTTGGGGCTGAGGCTGGGGAGCAGCTTCCTGGAAGAACTAGTAACTCTGTGACATTGTAAAGGGTGCAGAAAGGAAGGGAGTGCATTCTAGACAAAAGAGGAGCCTGGGAAGAACGAGAGAGGGCTTAGTTTCTCTGACAAAGTGGTCAACATTTGCACAACTAGGGTTTAAGGAAGGGAAAGTGGGGATGGGAAGAGAGCGAATGAGCGAGACCACGAAGCCCCTTGAGACCACCTTAAGAGGTTTAGACTTGTTGTGGGAAAAGCTAAAAACTTTTGAAGAGTGAGTGGCATGAGTGCTAGACAGACTAAATAAAAGCAATCAAGACTAGGCAAAAGGATTATGCAGGCTGGTACAGTGACCTCACCAGCGGCTGAGACAAGGCAGTCGGAGCAAAAGTGGGGAAGATCATGTTAACTCAAATGGTACTGAGGAGGTCCAGTCTGCAAGCCAGGTGGTCAGGAAGCAGAGAGAAAAGGATGGAAGATGACGGGAAGGTTCTTAATGTGGCTAAGGGATCAAAAGCAGTGGTTAAATGTACTCAGAAGAGACAGTCTGTGTAGAGTGTAGTCTTCCTTGCCAGTCGACTGGGCCCTGCTACAGTTTCAGCCCCCAAATAACACACAAGACTCTATATTAATTATGAAGCTGTTGGCCATTTGCTTGGTTTCTTACTGGCTAGCTCTGACTTAAGTATTTAACCCATAATTGTTGATTTAAGTATTTCTCTTACCAGAGAAAAGAGTCCCGACCTCTTACTCTGGCGGTCTACATGGTGACTCTGCCTCTCTTTCCCAGAATCCTCCTTGACTCCTAGTCCCACCTATCTTGCTTCCCTATTAGCCAACAGTGCTTTATTCAACAACCAATAAGAGAGAGAGATTTACAGAATGACATCTCCCATCAAGTCTGGGGTTAGAGGACCAAGATCCACAACGTTAAAACAGTTTACACACTGCCTTGGGAGGTACCTGAGGGATAGGCAGAGGTATCTAACAGACTTAATGTAGAGTTCAGGAGTACAGGAGACCTTAGGCGGATAAACATGAAACCATTATTATACTACTGAGATCATTGACTTATCGCTAGTACGAAAGATACTTTACATCCAAGGGTTAGGGAGATGGCTTAATCAGTAAAGTACTTATCACACAAGCAGGCAACCTGAATTCATATCCCCAGAACACATATAAAAAGTGTCCGTAACCACAGCAGCGGAGACATAGAGACATGCAGAACGCTGGAGCTTCCTGGCTAGCCAACCTAGCCAAGTCAGTGCTTTCCAGTCAGTGTGAGACACAGCCTCAAAAAGTAAGAAGGAAAGTGACCAAAGAGGCCAGTCTTTACTTCTGGCCTCCACACCCAAGTTCACACGCCTACATGCTTACACACACATTTTAAAAACTGAAATAAAAAATAAATGATACTTTATGTCTATAGGGTTTCAAGCTTCACACACTTCCAGTCCAATAAGGAATTGCAATGGCTAAATTACATTGTAAGGATTCCGCATATCATTTAAATCTTCATTTTGCATGAAATCATGCTCCAAAACCCTGAGGTAATGGTCACTCTAAGGAAACTGTAGCCTAGGCATGCTTTTCAAGGACAAGGAAACATCAGTAATAATGTCTGGTGTCATATAACACTGTGGAACCTCCACATTCACCTTAAAATCTTGTCTGCTCAGGCCCGTTGTTTCCTGTTCTGGTCCTCACGGGAAGTAAAGTCTCGCTGTTTGCCTCCATGATGATGCGACTTTAAACCCGTGGTTTAACTCTACATATATGAATGATAAACAGAAACTTGAGCTATCAGTAGATTTTCAGGTTTTAAATAATAATGTCTGCTCTTTACTATTTTCCCATGGTCTGAGAAAGGATCAAGAGAGTTAATGTGGTCCAGAGGTCTTCATGATGGAGACTGTAGCTGCCTTTAAGCCCATCACGTGGCCTTCTCCCTCTTGTCCACTCCTGTCTTGCCATTTTGGGCTCCTTTCCATGCCCAGAAGAACCCTGTTTTATCTTCTCTGATTGCTTCTTTATTATAACTACAAAAACACTGGCACACAATTTGGCCCCTTCCTTCCTCTTGGATCTTAGTCTCTATCTTTTTTCATATAAAGGCCGAACACAGTTAAGGTTAAACTCCTTAGTTTAGCTTGGATTTGTACTGGGTTATCAAAGATGTGAATGAGGAATCAGTGACTTTAATAAAACCAACCTTTTCTCATTAAAAGACTAAGTAAAGAATATGGTTTTTTTTTTTGGTTTTTCGAGACAGGGTTTCTCTGTGGCTTTGGAGGCTGTCCTGGAACTAACTCTTTCTTGTAGACCAGGCTGGCCTCGAACTCACAGAGATCCACCTGCCTCTGCCTCCCAAGTGCTGGGATTAAAGGCATGCGCCACCAATGCCTGGTAGTAAGGAATATTTTTAAAGTACCTACTTACCTGCTTCATTTTTAGAAGAGGAAATAATGCCAAAAGCAACTATTACTGTATAAAAGAGAGAATAAGAGGATTTACAATGTTAACTATGAAAACAACATATTTCCTTTTAAATGAAGCCATAACAGCTTATTAACCAAGATAGTTTTGTTAGAAAAAAAGAAATTAAAGTACATATTTGAGATATGCTGTTCAAAATAGGGGTCCATAAGGTGGCAGATGATCAATGGCACTCAGTAAAAGTTGGAAGCCGGTTGACTGAATACTAAGAGGCTGTGGCAAAGACCCATTGGCAAAACACATGCACTGACAGGCACATACCACAAGATGGTGCTGTTCTCAGAAAAGAATGCAATCGGTCCAAGATGGAAATCTCTCTACTCTGTTGTTCAGATAGAATACCCTTCTTTTAGAAACTCAGTTCTGATTTCTCAAGTTCTTAAGAATTTTCTCCATTAACGTCGTTATTCCTTTGACCTGGGATCTTTCTCAGTCTTTGCTCTCTCCCCCCCCTTTAACTCACATTTCTTTATCACCTAAAACCTCATTTCCCCAGAGAATCTCACCTCTCTGGACTAGGTTTGTTCTCATAGTGTACACCACCAGAACACCTAGTCCTCAGCTGGTATGTATGTATGTATGTATGTATGTATGTATGTATGTATGTATGCATATAAATGGTCTCGCTGGCTGCCCTGGAACTCACTATAGACCAGGCTGGCCTTGAACTCACAGAGAATCACCTGCCTCTGCCACCGAAGTGTGGGATCAAATGCATGTGCTACCACACTCAGCTACTGTGTTGTACTTAAGAAAAAATTTTAAATTAAAAATTATTTATATTTTATCTTATGTATACAGGTATTTTGCCTACATCCGTGTCTGTGCACTACTTGCATGCCTGGTGCCCTTGGAGGTCAGAAGAGGGTGACAGCTCCCCAGGACCTGGAGTGTCAGACAGTTGTGAGCAACCATGTGTGCATTGGGAATCAAACCCAGGTCCTCTGGAAGAGCAGCTAGAGCTCTTAACCGCTGAGCCATCTCTCTAGACCTTTCTTATGGGATTTCTGACTTCTAGATTAGTAAATAAAGAACCACATTGATATTTTTTGCAGTTCAAACCTATAAGCCAGCCCCATGAGTGAAGCCATGGCAGGTATTCAACACATATTTTTCAATGAATAGATTAATTGTAAACCACACAGCAGACAAATTATCTCTAAAGATTCTTCTAGACTGAAAAGATTTGGAAAAAAAGAAAGTCATCCAGTCAGGTGTTGGTGGCGCACGCCTTTAATCCCAGCACTCGGAAGGCAGAGGCAGGCGGATCTCTGTGAGTTCGAGGCCAGGCTGGACCGACAGCCTCCAAAACAGAGAAACCCTGTCTCGTAAAACCAAAAAAAGAAAGAAAGAAAGAAATTTAACCTATCAAAAAACACACAACAGGTTAACCCACAACTCCCAAGGTTAAGTGCCTTTCCTGACTCTACTCTGGCAAAGTGTGCATCATCTGGTATAATGATGGGAGATTAGCAGTGCTTCCATCTGTTTTTTTTGTTTGTTTGTTTTTGTTTTTACGA